CCTGCCTCAGCCTCCTGAGTAGCTGGGATTACAGGCACGCGCCACCATGCCCAGCTGATTTTTTGTATTTTTAGTAGAGACGGGGTTTCACCATGTTGACCAGGATGGTCTGGATCTCTTGACCTGGTGATCCACCCGCCTCAGCCTCCCAAAGTGGCATTACAGGCGTGAGGCACTGCTTTCTAAATCTTTCATTTCTGTTTGGGTATTTCTTGTCTCCTGTTAATAAGTTCTTGGTCTTGTTTACAGGGGCCAAGCAGTCGTTTAATATATGAATCCTTGCTGTTTGATACTTTGCAGTTCTGTTTTATTATTTGGCTGCTGGCTGGTTTTCAGTGCTAACCAAAAAATATATTTGTGGCAATTTCCCAAAAATTTGTTCTGTGGAAAACACTGTCAGTTTAGAAAATGGTGCTTAAGGCTGGGTGCGGTGGCTCAAGCCTGTAATCTCAGCACTTTGGGAGGCCAAGGTGGGCGGATCACGAGGTCAGGCGATCAAAAACATCCTAGCCAACATGGTGAAACCCCTGTCTCTACTAAAAATACAAAAAGTAGCTGGGTGTGGTGGTGCATGCCTGTAATCCCAGCTACTTGGGAGGCTGAGGCAGGAGAACTGCTTGAACCCAGGAGGCAAAGGTTGCAGTGAGCTGATATTGTACCACTGCACTCCAGCCTGGTGACAGAGCGAGATGTCATCTCAAAAAAAAAAAAAAAAAAAGGAAGGAAGGAAGAAAGGAAAGAAAATGATGTTGAAGCTAATACTGGCCAAGTTAAGACTATTCCTCCCCTCCTGGAGATTAAGGGTACACATTAGCACATTAGAGGCCATGAGAAATCCTGCCTTAAACAAACTCATTTAACCTTTCCAATCCATCATGTTCCAAAGATATTGGACAATGGAACTCTTCTTATTAATTAATTCTTTTTATTTTTTTGATTGCAATGAAGTCTTGCTCTGTTGCCCAAGGCTGGAGTGCAGTGACACAATCTTGGCTCATTTCGACCTCTGCAACCCAAGTTTAATCAAGTCTCGTGCCTCAACCTTCAGAGTAGCTGGGATTACAGGTACACATGACCACACCCAGCTAATTTTTGTATTTTTAGTAAAGACGAGCTTTCACCATGTTGGCCAGTCTGGTCTCAAACTCCTGACCTCAGACAATGTGCCTCTGTAAACAGGGGTTTCATGGAATACAGTGGGAATGCTACATGATTGTTGAGAGCCACCTACTTTCACTGCAGTTTTCTGCTTCTCTTTTTCTCTAGTTAAAAGAAAGGGAGGAAGAAAGAGAAGAAGAGCAAAAGAGAAGGAAGAAGGAAAGTAGGGAAAAATAGAGAAAAAGAAAAGTACTATGTACTTGATTTGGTTTGCATAAAGCTAGTAATATGCTGTTTTTCTAAGTAGAAAATGGTATTTGTGGCAAACGCGCTTTTGTTGCTGCCAGCTCACTCTGCAGCTTCCTCCTTTGAAATTTCTGGTTTATTTACAGTTTCATTTTCCTGATACATCTTAAGGATACACTTTGCCACATTCTGCCTTGAATAATTCAACTCTGTCAAAGCTTCTTTTTAGAAACTGCTTTCCTTTTAAAAATGAGTTATTTTTTTCCCTTCTAACCATTATAAAACTATAATTTTAAATACATATATTGGAGGCTTATGCTTCTGGAATAGATATGCTCTTCCCTATCCTCCCACTAAATTGGACATCATTTATAAAACAACATAAGACTCTGACGAGTGGAGAGAAGAGACAGATTGGCTAAGGACCTTGGGCATCAAATAACAAGACAATAATGAGTTCCCTGGGATTTGTTTTGGCCTCATATATCCCAGACTGAGTAACAGAGAAGCAGGCAACCCAGTCATGCCAGTGGGTGCAAACAAATAAAAAGAGCACCAGGGAAGGCCTGCTTTCTCCAGCTAGAAGACCAGAAGAAAGACAGCCTAGCAAGATAATATACTTTTAGATAATAACCTCTCTACTCCAGCCTAGTACAACAGAAAAAACAAACAAAAACAACAACAAGAACAAAAACTACAGCCCCACTGCCACCTACAAAGGCTTAGTGGAAAAACCTAGATTTCTGCCTTCACTAAGCTATAATAAGGTAATCCTGGCCCTCTTTCCTGGTTAGTGTCTGAGAAGACTGGGTGGAGAGGACTTTCGTCATCACTAGACGTTAGCAAGGCCCTCATCAACCCATGGTGACAGTGGAGAGCTTGGACTTCTATACCTTCCTGGTGGCAAGGAGGCACCCGTCCCTCTCCACTGTGGGGTGGTATCATAGGAAGGCTGGTGAGGAGTCACCACTGCTCAGTGGTGACAAGTTCACCCACCCCCACTATAGTATCACTGAAGGCCATGTCAGAAGAGTTACAAGGCACTCATGCCCCTTCAATTAAAGTTTATCAGTGAAAGACTAGTGAGGAGCCTGAAATCCCACTTCCAATCAGCAGTAATAAGGAGCACCTCCTGTTGGATACCAACTGAAACCAAGTGGAGACCTGGACATCCACTTCCCCCTGGCAGTGATGAAGTGGCACTGCATTTTCCCTTCCAGAAATTGTCTGAGGAGAACTGCTAAAACACAATGTTTGAATACAATTCAGAGTCTCAAAACACAATACACAAAAATGTCCAAGTATTAATAAAAATCACTCATTATAGAAAGAACCAGAAGATCTCAACTTGAAGAAAACACACTCAACAGATGCTGAAGCCAAGATGACATACATTAGAATTATCTGATTTTAAAGCAGCTGTTATAAAAATGCTTCAATGAACTATTACAAACATGGCTTGAAATAAATGAAAAATTAGAAAGCTTTAGCAAATAAATAAAAATATAAAGAACACATTAGAAATTTTAAAATTGAAAAGTATAATAACCAAATTTTAAAACTTAATGGATGGGCTTGAAAGCAGAAGGAAGAGGACAGAGGGAATAGAATCAGCCTGAAGATAGTACAACAGAAATTACCCATTCTGAACAAAAGAGAAAAAGACGAATAGAAAATGAACCTTGGGGATATATGTAGTCTGATAACAAACAATTTAAAAATTATATCATCAGAGAACCCAGAAGGAGAGGAAAAAGATGGAGAGGATGAAAAAGCATTCAGAGAAAGAATGGCTGAAAAGTTTCAAAACTTAGCAAAAAAAAAAGTAAACCTACAGATTGAAAAGCTGACTGAACTCAAACACAATAAAAGACAGCTACGTTAAGATACATCATAGTCAAAGTTCTGAAAACCAAAAGACAAACTAAAAAATATTGGAAGCAGCAAGAGGGAAACGACATCTTACCTACAGGGGAAAACCAATTCTGACAATGGTGGCTTTTTCTTTAGAAACCATGAAGGCTTTCAAGTGCTGAAAGAACAGAGCTTTCAATCCAGAATTCTATGTCAGGCAAAAATACCCTTCAGGAATGAAGGAGAAATTAAAACATTCTCAAATGAAGGAAACTAAAAGCACTTGTTGCTGGCAGACCTACCCAAGAATAGCTAAAGGAAGTTCTGTTAACAGAAAAGAAATGATAAAGAAGGAATCTTAAAACATCAGTGAAGAAGGAAAAACACCAAAAAGAGTAAAAACATGGCAGGGGGGGGTGGGTAAATGCATTAGACTTCCCTTATCCTCTTGCATTTTCTAATTTTTTGATAGCAAAAAAAATATAACCAGGTCTAATATGGTTTTCAATATATGTACAGGAAACACTAAGATAATTAACAGAGTAAAAGAACATAAAGGAAAGTAAGATTTCTACACTTTACCTGACAAGATGTCAAACACCAATAGACTGTGATAAATTATGTAAATATGGTGTAATACCTAGAGCAACCACTAAAAAAGCTCTACAAAGAGATATACTGAAAATCACTATAGATAAAATGGATTATGAGATAATGTTCATCTAATTCACAAGAAGACAAGAAAGTGAAAATAGAGAAACCAAAAACTAGAGAACAAACAGGAAACAAAAAAAAGTCAGGCTTCAGCCTTGACATAGCAATAATTACATTAGACAATAGAAGCCTTTACATATCAATAATTACATTAGACAAGAGAAATTGTCTAAATAAACCAATTGAAAGAGACTGACAATAAATTAAAAAATGACAAACTCACTTCAAATATAACTGTATAGGCAAGTTGAAACTAAAAAGATGGAGCAATATATCATGCAAATATTAATAGAAAGAAAGCAGAAATGGTGCCAAGATAATTTAATAGAGAAAGAATAGTCTCTTCTACAAATGGTGCAAGGCCAAGAGGATATCTACATGCAAAGGAACTAAGTTAGAACCCTACCTTAAACCATAGACAAAAATTAATACAAAATGGATCAAACATCCAAATGTAAAACCTAAATCTAGAAAGCTCTTAGAAGAAAACAGGAGTAAATCTTCATGACCTTGGATTAGGGAATTGTTTCTTATATATGACACCAAAAGCACAAGCAACAAAAAATCAGATAAAATCTGATGTCATTAATATTTTAAAACTTTTTTGCTTCCAAGGACACCATCAAGAAAGCGAAAAGACAACCCATCAATGGAGAGAAAATATTTGCAAACCATATATTCGATAAGGAACTAGTATGTAAATATATTAATAACTAATTGATAATAAAAAGGTGACCAAATTTAAAAATGGACAAATACTTGACTAGATATTTCACCAAAGCAGATATACAAATGGCCAATAAGCACATAAAAAATGCCTAACATCATTAGCCATTAGGGTTATGGAAACCAAAACCACAATATCCATTCACACCCACTAGGAGGTTGTAATAAAAAAGATAGAAAATGACAAGTGTTGGTGAGGGTATGGAGATATTGGAACCCTATGCATTGTGAATGGGAATGGAAAATGGTACACCATTTTAGAAGACAGTTTGGCTGATCATTAAAAAGCTAAAGTTAGCATAAGATCCAACAATTCCACTCCTAAATACAATCCCCAAGAGAAAGTAAAACGTATCCACACAAAAACTTTTATAAGGTGTTCACAGCAGCATTATTTATAATATCTCAAAGTAGGAAACAACCCAAATTTCTATCAGCTGATGAATGGATAAACAAAATGTAGTATATTTATGCAATGGTATATTATTCGGGTGAATTTTATAGTAGGTGAATTTTATCTCATTTTAAAATTTTGAGGAAAAAGCAGATGTGGCTACTTTAATATCAGATAAAGTAGACACCATTGTTCATAGCTTTATTTGTAGTAGCCAAAAACAGGAAAAAATCAAAATATCTCAATATATGAATGGTTAAACAAACTGTGATACATTTATAACATGGAATACTATTCAGCACTAAAAAGGAATCCACTATTGATACATGCATAGATTTCAAGGACATTAAACTGAGTGAAAAAAATACAATCTCAAAAGGTCGTGGGCTATATGATTTCTTTTTATAACATTCTCAAAATTATAGAAATGGAAAACAAATTAGTGGTTTTCAGGGATTAGGGGTGGGGGGATCAGGGGACTAAGTGTGATTCTAAAGGGCTAGCATGAGGGAGATCTTTGTGGTAACAGAATAGTTCTATGTCCTGATTGTGGTTGTGGTCATATAAATCTGTATGTAATAAAATGGCATAGAACTATACACATACATTGATCCAATTTCAGTTTCATGGGTTTGATGTATTGTAGTTCAATAAGATGTAATATTGGGGGAAATGGGGTGAAGAGAACCTGGGACCTCTTTAATAACTTTGTAACTTTCTGTGAACTTATAATTATTTTAAAATAAAATATATAAATAAGAAACATTTCAAAACAGATATGTGAGTATAGAAATTTCCTCACAAATGTTTATGAACTATGCTACTTCGAATCTATTATTTGAAGGTAAAAATTGGAAATGGAAAAAATAATGCAGTTATAAAAAGAATTACCAGTAAGAAAAACATTAAATCAATTTTTATATTAAAATTTATTTAAACATATCCACATGAATAAGTGGTTTATGTTACTTGTGTCTTTAAAATTAATATATGTTCTGTTTTCTTAAATAAGGTATAAACTAGTTATTTTGTAGATTGGTTACTGGAATTAAAATTGTCAACACAAGATGGCACTAACTAAAAGTAAGAAAAAAACTTGTTTTTAAAAAGCATTGTGAGCTTTGCTGCATATGATTAAAACAAAACTGAACAAGCCATTTATCAAGTGAATCATTGTTTAACTGTGCAGTTAATGAAGTCTTGACTTTACATGAAAGCTGAAGTGTGTTCAGTTTCAATAATTTAGTTTTAATAACTGGTTCTGTCTTCATTAATTGAAATATTTAAGCTTTACTGCACTTTCTAATCATGACTTAAATTTTCAAAGAGGTACACAAGAAAAGAAATATAGTGAAATCAGGTTAGAAATAATTGGTATAGTAAAATGTTAGCATTTTCTGTTATTTACAGTTTTCTAAACTAACAAATAGCTTTGAAAAACTGAGATTACATCAGATGAAACAAAACAAAGTTCGACGAAAAGAATTACCATACCTTAAAGAAGAAACACCCTTTGAACTGAGCAATTTGAACCAGAAATTAGAGGTGAGATATATTATTTTAGTTTCTTCATGTGTATAAATATTGATTCCTGTTGTTGTGGGCTGTTTGTCTCTAGTGTCCACAGTGGTGTCTACAGTTGTGGTAATAAACACTATTACAGACTAACTTCTCGTTGAATGTATTTTCTTAGTGCAGCTTCCCTTCAAGCACTTAGTGAATTAAAACATCACTTTGATGTACACATCTTTTCTATATATCCACAATTTGAAGAGCACAAAAAGAAAAGCCAAAAAAGTGAAAAGAAGCTGCAGCTGTTAAGTAAAATTGAAGGACACCCCTGGGGTCAGTTAAAGTGAATATCTAATAAATCTTTTAATGGCCATTTAGCTATTAGGTACTTAAATCCCAGTGGAGCCTCATCACAGCTTTTAAAACAGGGCTTAAAGTTTCAAAGCTTTTTTCTTTAAATTTGGTTAGAAAGAACCAATTCAGTTGCCCCATAGCACTTAGAATTTCTGAAGTTTTGGTCTCTAAAAAAATTCACTATGTCCTTATAGCTATATACATCTACTATGTACCCATGGAAATTAAAAAGAAAAACCTTTAAAAATTCACTATGTCATACACGCACTTATTCTTATCTTCTTCATTTTCCAACCTTGGAAAAAACAAACCAGCTATTTTTCTTCGCTGCACTCTTGAGTATTCCTTCTACAAGTCATGGAACAGCAGACAGATTCCACTATAAATTTTCCTATCATCTACTTTTTACCTGGATCCCGAGAACTGCTCGATTATTATTTTTTCATTGACTCCAAGTTGACCTTTATGTTGTCCTACTTAATTTCTTTCATTTTTCTCAAGCCCTAAACTCCAGCATCCCTCCCCTCCCAGCACTTCTTCATCTTATTCTTTAATTAACAAGTCCTTCTACTTTAAAATATCTTAAAGAACGGGAAAACATTAAGTCCAAATCACAGCCCTAAAATCAGCTTATTATAAGAATGTTGTAGGAAGTCCTAGATTTTAATCTTTAAAACCCCAGCACATTTTACATGCTTCTGAACAATGAAGTTTTAGTTTTTAAAAATACTAACATCATCACTAAGTAAGTTGACCCTCTAGGAAAATGCATTGTGTTGTTCTCCCAGGCTCTTGCAGTGATATAACCAGAAGGGCTTCAGAAATGTCCTGGTCTCATAGAAGATGCCATAGATGTGCACTGTAATATACATGTGCTTTCACTGCAATGAAGAGATTGAGTCACCAATTATCCATTTGACTGACTTTTCATGGGCTTTTGTGGGAGAACTACATTAATAAAAATCGTTCAGACAAAAAAAGCCTTAAGTTAGTATCAAGTACTTTGTGTATGCATGTTTTACATTTAGGGAACTAAATATTTACCATATATATATAAAACATACATAATGAAATCATAGTAGAAATTAGTAGCAAAATGTTTTTTTTATGTTTGTACTTATTTAAAAGATTTTAAGCATTCTATGCAGATATACAGTTTAACTTGAAATAATTATAAAAACACTTCATGTACCTGTTTTTACTTATAGCTATCTGAAAAATTAATGTGTAAGAGATAGACTCTTCCAGTTTTAGTCTGCATGTAAACCTGTTTTTCCTTTGGGGCATTTATACACTGGTATAGTAATAGCAGTGTACCACATATAGTAGTAGAAGAACATGATCATTGATAACTGAAAACAGGCCTTGCCTGATTCATGTGTTTGCCCTGTGATATTTTGGCAAGTTGTTAGCCTCACTATGATTCCATGTTGTCATCAGTAAATGGGGTTAAAGATATCTTATATGTGACATTGTGGTTATGGTGAAAAAAATTTAGATGCACACTAAAGCATTTAGGGATGAAAACATGTGAGGTCTGGAAGTCACCTTAAAATCTACCAACAAAAAAGTGTGGAGAGATAGGAGACGTAAAGATGGACAAAGGTGATGGTAGTTAAACTGGGTGAAGAGTACATGGAGGTTTGTTTTACTCTCTACTTTATGTATGAACATCTTCATAATAAAAAGTTAAAACCATTTTACAGGTGAAGGTCCCCAACATATAGTAATCACTAAAGATCACCTCCAATATTTATTAGAGGGCTTTTTAAAACATCTAATAATACAGCTATCAAGAGAAACTAATTTTAATGACCCTGATCCACTCACTCTCAACCTTAAAGACCCAGAAAAACTTTTCCAGCCATGAAGAACTTACTGTGGAGGTCCAGGCAAGTCTACAGACCTTCTGAAGCCTAACATGATAACTCCAGTCTCTGTAAAAACCCTTATGAAGCTCTCTGGGTTCCTGCATGGTTCCATATATTGTGCTGACTCGCTAGTCATGAAATCAGTACATCTGATAAAATTAAGAAGGCCAGGATTGTCATAAGCACCTGTTGATAGGTTTGTGACATACATTTCTAGCTACCCTTGGCCTCACTTCTACCTGTTGTAGTATTTATAAGAAGTCAAGGTTAATGCTTCTGCCTCTAAAGCATCCTGGGTAATATTTATTTTCAAGATTATTGGGGTTAATGGGTAAAAAATGGTAAATATTTGTATTATCTAAAACATGTGAACAGCTTAAGTCAACCTTGCCCAAAATTTGACTTCTAACTCCAAAGATTCCTTTTTAAACTAAAAGTAAACAGAAATTTTAAAAATCTAGATTGCATTGATTTGAAATGTTAGCTATTTTCTACTAGAACCTAGTTTTATAAATTTGCCATTATTGCTAAAGACCCTGTTTTCATATACCTAATTTTTGTATTATTGTATGTCAGAATTGAAGTCAATAACTTTAAATAGACTATCTCCATTTATCATAGTAAATACAGTCTATTTATCATGGGCTACTATTATATACAGAATGTCTTTCCATATTTCTTCAACCTTAATACAATCACTCAATGTCAGATCACCCACCTTTCACTACTGTAAAAACTTCCTGATTTATAGCCTTTCTTCACTAATTGTTTAGGGACTTACAGATTTTAAAAACTAAAATTTCTTTAAATGTTCTTTAAAATTATTTTTGTATAGAAAATATGACATGCCATGTTCTTCTCATTTTAACAAAATAAAGCTTTCATTCTCTAAATAAACATTTGTTTTCCAGCATTGCCAATCCAGTCACTTCACCATCTTCAAAATAATAGTAACCACTCTGGCTATAATGAACTGTTCCAGTTTGATATATTATGGGAAATAGCTAAGATAATCATAATATCCTCTGCACGGCTTTTATGTGTCAGTATTATTATACTTAACATACTGACATACTGTAATATTACTTGTTTGTGTGTACATTTCCCTACTTTACTATATATTCTTTGATTTTTTTCTTTCAAAAAAATTTTTTAAATTATGAAATAGTTCCAGATTTTCTTCTTTCCACAAAACTTGGTGGGCATTAACTGCTCAATAAATATTACTGAATTGAGAATTGAAAACATTGCTACATTCATGCCACATTTCTTTTTTTTTTAATTTTATTTTATTTTATTTTATTTTATTTTTTATTTTACCTCTCCTTTCCTAGTCCACAAATCTTTCTTATTTATTTAATCATGCCACATTTCTATATGCAATAATATATAGTCATGGACTTAGTAGCTATAGTTTCCAATTATGTTGTTTTCTTTGCAAAATTTTCGAGACTGGTTAAATTCTAGGACTGTACCATGCTTTTGTTTGTAGACAAAAAGGATATAAATGGTCAGCCCTAAGCAAAATGGAGAAGCAGTGATGTCTTCTTTGGTATCCTCAGGGCTATATCCTTTGCTTATGTTATTAAGATGTGAACAGATAATCATGCTGTATTATCTGAGCAAAACTACATTACTTGAGCAAAAACTTAAAAAAACTGATCCTGATTTATCAACCTACTTCTACCATTTATTTCCAAGGTAGACCAATTAGTACTGCCTAGATGAGGCCTGGCCATGGCCACAAGGGGCAAAGTCACTGTCTTAGTTAGTTCAGGCTGCTATAACAGAATACCATAGACTGGGTGGCTTAAGCAACAGTCATTTATTTCTCACAGTTCTGGAGGCTGGTAGACCAAAATCATAGTGCCAGTATATTAATCCATTCTCACACCGCTATAATGAACTACGTGACACTGGGTAATTTATGAAGAAACGTGATTTAATTGTCTCACAGTTCCTCAGGCTGTACAGGAGGCATGGCTGGGGAGGCCTTGGGAAACTTACAATCATGGTAGAAGGCAAAGGGGAAGAAAGGCATGTATTCACGTGGCCAGCAGGAGAGAGAGAGTGGTGGGGGCAGGGAAAAGAGAGGAAGAGAGAGAGAAAAAGGAGAAATGCTACACACTTTCAAACAACCAGATGTCATGAGAACTCTATCAAGAGACAGCACTAGGGGGATGGTGCTAAACTATTAGAAACCACTAGGCCGTGCACAGTGGCTGATGCCTGTAATCCCAGCACTTCGCGAGGCTGAGGTGGGAGGATCATGAGGTCAAAAGTTTGAGACTAGCCTGACCAACATGGTGAAACCCTGTCTCTACCAAAAATACAAGAAGTAAGCTGGACATGGTGGCACATGCCTGTAATCCCAGCTACTCAGGAGGCTGAGGCAGGAGAATCACTTGAACCTGGGAGGCGGAAGTTAACAATGAACCAAGATCATGCCACTGCACTCCAGTCTGGGCAACAGAGCAAGACACTGTCTGAGAAAAAAAAAAATAAAGGAGGACTTCCGCCAAGATGGCCAAATAGGAACATCTCCAGAGTGCAGTTCCCAGCGTGAGCAACACAGAAGGCAAGTGATCTTCGCATTTCCAACCGAGGTACCAGGTTCATCTCAATGGGACTGGTTGGATAGTGGGTGTAGCCCAAGGAGGGCAAACTGATGCAGGGTGGGGCGCTGCCTCACCTGGGAAGTGGAACAGGCCAGAGGAACCCCCTCCTACCCAATAGAGGTAGGGAATTTTCCGGCCAGTCCGGCACTCCAGTTCAGATACTGCGCTTCTCCCGCAGTCTTAACAGCCC